GTTGCACAACCGTGGATGTGGACGGCAATTTGGTTGCCAACCTTGCAGAGGGTGTTTTGAAGAAGTCGGTGACAGACTTCCTTGACGATACCTCAAGGTTCTGTGGCGTGGACATCTTTCTCCTGGGGCCCAAGCTTGCTCCGGTTGTTGACGGCCTGAATGGTGATGTGGAACTCCGGAGAGACCAGCGCTGGCGGGTAGCCATCTACGGCAACAACATGTCTGCGGAACATGCCAAGACCCGTGTCCTTATTCATATTGATCAGCTTGTATGTTGTTCCCGCATCTTTGTGCTGGCGTCTGTACTAACATGGAGGTCTATTAGCTGGGAAGAATCGTTGATTCCATTCAGGTGGACTACAGCATTCAGCAAATCTTAATTGGTCGCAACCGCAAGAACATCAAACTGATCGAGTCATCAACTAACACGGCCATTTACTTTCCTCCGCCGTTCCTGAACTGCTATTCTTATTGCCCACCCGGCGCAGCACGTCGTGGGGAGGCCGAAGTCTTCATCACTGGCGAGAACACACAAGCTATTGAGCAGGCAAAGTACAAGATCCACGACTATCTCACACGCATCCGGCTCTTTGTAAAGGATGTTCAGATTTCACCTGCCAAGCTCGACAGTGTTCTGCTCACCCGCATGGACAAGGTGCGAAAGATCGCCGAGAACAACAACACACACATTGTGCCTCCCGGTCTTGGCTCTCGGAAGAACTTGGCTCGCTTCCAAGCTCAGGAAAACTTGCCTATCGAGCGTTCTGTCCGCGAGTTCATGGCCTTGGTTGGGCAGTTCTACACTGCTACGTGGTGGATCTCGCATCCTGACGGCCGCCAGCCAATGCCAACCCCCAACGACATCCGGACCATGCTCAGCGATATCTGTGCCAATTCAGAGGCCGATGTGACGTTTGACAAGATGTGCTTCACCATCACTGGCTCGGACGAGGCCGTCAAGGCTGCTCTGTCGGTCATCCATGATATCAAATGGGTCAACCACTCCCAGTACCAGATTCGAGTCAAGATCGAGCTCGCCAACGAACATAAGGAATTTGTGAGCGGAAAGAAGAATGGCAAGATCAACAAGATTATGGGACAGAGCAACGTGCAGATCATGTTTGAGACGTTTGGTGAATACAACTTCAACATAGAGGTGGTCACACATTCATACGATGCCGTCAAGCACGGTCTTACATTGGTGGAGCAAGAGATGCCGGCATCGATTTCGTTCCATGTCCCGGATCAGTACCACAAGCGCATCATTGGCATCGGCGGACAGCACATCCAGCGCATCATGAAGAAGTATTCAGTCTTTGTCAAGTTTTCCAATGCAATGGACAGAGGTAGGATCAAGCGTGTAAACCCTTTCTTGGGCCTCACTGACACAGTTTCAGGCGGCCTTAGTCGTGAGGATGATGATAGCAGGGTCGACAACGTAATCTGCCGCACTCCGGCACGTAACGCTCAGAACCTTGAGCTTGTGAAGAGCGAGATCCTCGAGATGGTGGATAGGGTTGTAAGGAGCCCACCCCCTGACGGAGATACCAAGCCGCTAACGTGAAACTTCTTGAAGGACTCTGAGTTTATGAACCAGACCGTCAAGATTGACCGCCTCTACCACCGTGAACTGCTTTCCAGGCTGCCCGAGATTGAAGAAATGGAAAAGAAGTGGAACTGCAAGATTGTTTTCCCTAGTACGGAGCAGGCCACTGATGAACTCACTGTGTCTGGTCCCCAGTGGTTGGTGCCCAAGTGCATTGATTCCTTTTTGGTGAGTGTTGTGTTTTTTGCATTGCTTTCGTTTATGCAGCGTGACTAACTTGATATGCTCAGGGCATGGTCCCCGACAAGCACGAAGTCGTGATGGAGCGAACTCCTTCGCTGATCAAGTTCCTGGAGTCGCCGGAATTTGTTCAGAACATTGTTCCCAAGCTGAAGACCCAGTACGAAGTTGATGTGACGGTCCACGAGAACCCCGAGGAGCGTGCCTCCAATGGCAACTCATCGGTCACTCTGCTCTGGCAGTTCACTCGCAACAACGCAGGCGGCGTCTCTGATGCCATGGACTTCCTCCAGGGCGAGTTCGCCACGGCTGGAGTGGAGCCTGTCTTCATCAGAGGCGCTCTGTCCCGCCCGAAGCCGGACACGTTCGAAGAAGCACTGCCGTTCTTTGACTCCAAGCTTCTTCAGCATGCACCCGCTCCGGTTGCTACCGATTCTCCCACCAAGCCTTCCTTCGGCGAGGAGACCGCGCGGGAGCGGTCGAGTCTCTTGGAGCGTCTTCGCAGGCCTGGCAGTGGCATGTCGTCGATTTCGTCCTTCTTGGATAGAAGAAAGAACAGCTCGCAGTCGGCGGCCAGCTTCTTCAAGGGCTCCAGCAATGTGTCGAAGTCGTCGCTTGTATCCATCGAGTCGACCCGCAGCTTCAACGCGGACCGGAACCCCTGGAACGACAGCGGTGTCAACCTCGCCGACGAGGATACTGGCAGCCCTTGGCCGTCGGCGATCCTTGTTGGTGGCAACGGTATTGGCAACAAGCTGACGGTCCCTCACCATGGCGACATGACCCCTCGCCACGCCGCCCGTCAGTCTGCCGACAGCGGGCGTCCCTCCACCTCTCATTCAACAAATTCAGGATACCCCGGCCCTCTTTCTGGGCCATTTCGTTAACGGTTTAACGTCTCTCCATGGTTGTGATTTCGCCAGATTTTAGACACGCATTGTTTGCTTTTTTCTCTGACGTGTTGCGGCGAGGAAAAGAGAAATACCCAATACCCCTTATGGCTGGATATACCCAACGGCGTAAAGTAAAATACCCTGGTAGTTGTGTTGCTTTGCTATTGTTCTTTTTGGTTGGTTGCGCGTGGGTTTCATCTTTTTCTTTCATCTTTGCAATCTCTCTTCACTTTTGCTGTTTTCCCTCTTGTTTTCTCGCAAATTTCTTCTCGATGACTTCTGACATGGTTAAGGATCGAGAACTTGTTCACATCCTTACCATGAGAGGAGTAAGAGGTAGAGAATCGAGAGGAAAGGAGATGGCGGGATCAAGGGAAGGAGATGGGAGATGATTTCTTGGTTCGTTGTTTTCTTTTTTCTTGACGCTTTATGATGTTTTGTTTTTTTCTTTCTGATTTCATTTCGGAGGGAAGGAGAGAGTGTGTGGACGACGAATGAGGTCTTGCGGTCTTTGATGTTTTGGTTTTTTCCTGATACCTGAAAAAGCAGTTTTATACCCGGGGTGTGTGAGTCGTGAGGTGGGTGTTGGTCGGATGTGGAAACGGGAACATGTGTCGAGGGCATCATGGATGATGGGATGGGCATTTTGGAAGAGATGATTTGATACCACAAGGATTGAGGGATGGGAAATGGGAAAAAGATGGGAGAGAAGGCGAAAGGAGGGGTGTCAGCGAAATCTGAAAGAGAAGAGAAGAAGCGAATACAAGAAGATGAATACCCCCGATATTGTGTGTGTCTTTTTTTTTTTTTCTTGGTGCGTGCCTGTTGTTTGTGGTGCTGCCTTTGTTGGTTTGGGTTGTCTGAGGATGGTCTTCTTCTGGAGGATGGCTTGGGTTGAGGTTGGGGTTAGGGCTGTGTTGGAGGACCTTTCAGGGGCTTGGCTCAGAAAAAGGGTTGATGTCTGCTAGAGTGGAGGTAGATGTTGCCGATGGACCTTGGGTTTTTCCTTTTTTCTGTTTTTTCTTGCTATTTGGACCCAGATTGGAAGACAAGATATTGTCATACGTTGTTTTTGCGAGTTAGTTTATTACTGAGAGAAAAAGATACCCTTGTTTTGGCTGATATAAGAGTTGTGGTGTGGTTGATGCTTCGTGCTGGCTGTGACACTTTTGATGTCTCCATACTTGACAAGCTGCTCAGAGGCGGGGAGGTGAACTACGCGATTGATACCCCTGTAGTTGATATCTTTCTCTCAAGGTCGTCTTCTAACAGCATACTGGGATTTGTTGCTGTTTGTTGGTCGATCTAGCGGAACCTCCGCGTCGCAGATCTTCTCCTCTGCAGTGCCGATATTTCGAGTAAGAGTGTTAGCTCATTGTTGTATAGATCAGGTATCTTTCCTCGTTTTACTAGCTGGTCAAGGGAGTGCCTGCTGGAGGCAACACAGGTTACTAACTAGGCGTGATGGACACGGGGCGGGTGACCTAGGGTTCAACTAGGTACTTGGGTAAGCTAACGTCGGATTAAAGTCGGCGCCACCTACATTGTCTGTGCCAGTCAAGGTCACTAGGTACAAGGACTACAGAGTGGTACTTGGAGAAGAATTTCTGGCAGAGACTTTCGTGTGGCGTGGTAGTATAAGGTAGCGGTTATTACACTTCCCGAGCTTGAGCGAAAACCCAGGTTCGACTTCCTGGCCCGCTAACACAATCAGCGTTTGGCTTGTTTTGATTTTCAGCGTTTCTTTTTTTACTTTACTTATTTCATTCTTTTTCTCGTCAGGGTATATCATTTATGTGCAGTCACGTCCTGTCAGCGGGCGTTTTTTCCTCTGGCTGGATGGATGGCTATCCTTGATGAGACAGTATCTCAGGCAGATGTGGTTAATTAACCCCCCTCTTCTGGCAGTGATGAAAGAAAGTAGATTCTAGAGCTGAGAGTTCAGCTTTTTTTCCATGGGATAAGATTGCATGGGGCGATAGTTTCAGCCTTTTTTACTTCTTGCGTAATTGAGTTCCTTATTAGCCACTGCCTGCCATGGCATCGTCCCAAACGTGTACTCTTAGACAGACATAAAACTATTTTTTGTCTAAGTAGAGTGGTCTTGCTCGTTACACATTTGTGGAAATAGTCCAGCAGGTTGACGGCCAAGTAGAGTTCAGTTAGCTGAAGTGATTTGAGAATTTCCAGGGTTGGTATCCAAAAGCAATGGTCTCGCAGCTCAACTCAGCTTCCACCAAAGGAAGAGAAGACATGCAAATTGCTGCGGTGGGATTACAGTGGAGGGAGGGATGAGCAGGGCAAAAAGAGCAAAAGAAGAGTTCCCACACCGGGGTTTGAACCCGGGTCTCCAGGGAGTTCACTGTACTTCCTGCTAGGGAAGGAACAGAGTTGAAAACCTGACATGCTAACCACTACACTATATGGGAGTTTTGTTTGTTTGTTGGAATGGAAGGGAGGTGAGGGCGGTATATATGGTGTGGGAAGGAGCGAGAGGGGGGATGTGGGAGTGGGGGTGGCATTGAAAGTGCGTTCTTGCCTCGTTTGCTGAGCTAGGTATGGAAAGAGCAGAGTTAGGGAAAGAGAGCTTGAGAGGGGATAGACTTTTGCTTATTGTTCGATGAAAAACGAACGGCTTGCTGGTCTGTCTGAAGATGCTCTTGTTACCTATGATCTTAGGTGAGCAAACCTCCGTTGTATTTGATGATGATGATGTAAGTATCCCTCGACTTCAAGTGTGGCCGCGGTATTTCAGAATTCCGATGAGACAAGACATTGCAAGCACAGCATACGAGGCTGCTTGTATTTTTGGTCTCCTTCTAGCATGCCTGGGCTGGATACCTGTGTGTCGTCAGTCCTGGTTTTTTGAAACCGTATAGTAGTAAATGGCGGATGAGAGAGGTGTAATTAGTATGTGATGATCAAAGGTATGCTTGGTCAGTTGAATAGTCGATTGAGTTCACCGAGAAGCTCATGAGTAGACGATCCAAGTCAGACTTTGGATTGTTGCGTTTGATGGGGCAAGTTAATCAAGTTACTCAGATTCATGAGCAATCGAGAGTATCATATTCTACAATTCAGGTACAGTCTGGGCGGGGAACCATGTGAAGTACTTGTTGGGCTCTTGGTACATTCAGAGCGAGATAGCAGACATAGTCACCTTTTTGTAATCGAGATGAAATCGGCCAAGAATTAAAAGAATTGTTTTATGTCCATCCCAGTGTTTGAAAAGCTATTATATGTCTAGATCAGAGTAGAGTGATGTGACTTCACCATGAGTAGGTCCACTGCAGGTGAGGAACTTGTCCCGTATCTAGCCGCGCAGATGAGATGTTATGCGATCTGGACTGCAAGTTGATCGATCCTTGGTACGCTATGTGCCGCTCATTTCCAACCCCATTACCACCTTGTCTTGCCGACATCGAACAAACTGAAGCAATCTATCACAATGGGACCATGGCTGGAGGAGTAAGTTATGCGAAAATATGACCTCTTAGTAATTGGCCAGGCCTGACTAAGACATGATGCCCAACTGGATGTATCTCTCATTCAGAGGTATGGGAGGTGTGGTGTGATGAGGTCTCATTGGCGTATGTAAGTGAGCCCTTTGAGTTGAACAGATTGGCTATGCTGTACGCCACGAACGGATTTTCTGATCGGCCTGGAAGACCTCGGAGAAAGCCGGTCAGGTAGATCAAAGTATGAGCTCATTTTCTGATTCTGGATGCAACGCTGGTGTATGATTCCTTGGTTGTTCATTCAAAAGAGACGGTAGCTATGAAGGCGCCCCAGGCGATAAACACTTTCGGGCACAAAGTGAAGCGATTACTATGGCGTATTCTAGTAAGTTGAGAGTGACACAGAAGTATTCAACGCTAGCGCCCAAGTATCTCATACTTGCCTTGCTAAAAGTTGTCGTGAGCAGGTCTTCGGAAGAAAAGCTTTCATACGTCAGCCATCGTCGAGCAGCATGCCGGCAAATACGGAGAAAGAAGATAACAATCAAGTCCAGCTGCATGCAGCCTCGTTCCCATTCCGCGCCGGTTTGTTTGTGCAGGCCGGTTGGCAGAGATCTAATCCTGGATGGTTGTGATGGCTTGCGTTTGGGCATCAATAAACCCCCCAAACCAGCCAAAGGCGGGGAAAGAACGCCATAGGCGGCTGTGGGAAACAGGGGGTCGTGAATACTATCCATACAGATCGGAAGCCGCAAATCCGGGTAGTGTAGCGCGATGGCTGCATCCGATGCAGGACATCAGGGAGCTAGCTCGTGAGAGAACCTTGAGGGTGAGGAGGCTATATCACCGGTGGTGCTAAGACGTGGGGTTGAGACAGTGTGGGTCTCGTTGAAGATGTCATTGAGATCTCGAGGACCCTGGAGATCATCATGGGAACTTGCGAGTGCGTTTGAAAACGTAATATGCGAGAATTTGAGAAGCTACCTCACCCCGAAGCGGTCAGTCGTCCACGAACTCGGCCCGGGCAATGGCCAGCAGTTCGACGCTACCGATGTGGTGGTGTTGTGGATTGGGCTCTCATTAGGCGTGAGGCTCTGACAGTTGCATCGCTATTGGATAATTGGAAGCTGGTGACGAAATGTTGGTTAGTTGAGAAGGCAAAGCTTAGCATGGGAATACGAATGATAGTATCGGGCCGTTGCTGAAGGGGTAACGTGCAGTTCTGTCGTCGAAGTACATTGTATCCAGGCACGTGGCCGGGAGTATCTGTAGATTTCCGTATGAAGGGCTCCGAGATGAGATCATAGCACTGGAGGACATATGCACCGCCGCATCGTTTTCTCACCGCGATATTAGTGACCCGAGTAGGGATCCATTCTCTCTTACCTGCAGACCGCTCCGGCAACCGGTCCAATTCCGGAAGAGAGCACAGGTTATGTTGATAATATATTCTTCAAGTGAAGATCACGAGCAGGATCGGATCGTAGGCTCCCGATCTTCCCAACCGGATCCTGTCGTCACTTCCTGTTGTTGAAGCCGTTGAGATCAGGTCACGATAACCTCAAGTGAAAGATCCACTGGGGTCGCAGTGGACATCTTGTGGGTCTCGGTTCACCCCTCAGTGGATCTTGGGCGCAACGCTCCCGCGCCAACCCACCCCTGGCCACCCCATATTTACATCTGGAGATCATCCTCAGGAGACAACAGGAATTGGCATTCATCAGCATCGGAAGACATGGAAAACACTGGCCTCGTTAAGGTGGCCATCACCCAGTGGCCGTCACACGGTCGACCCGGCATCTGTAGGGTACGGAATACGTGCATTTGCCGGCAAAGTACTGACGGTACTTGAATGTTGGTACATGCATTGTATCGTCGAGCGAGTCCACAGCGCTCGTTACACGTGTTGCACCCCACCATTTGACCCAGCCTCCGTCGTCCGACCATCACGGATCGAGTCGTCTTCTCACGCACACTTGGTTCGACTTGCATGCTGCAGGAGGAAGGAGAGCGAGCGAATGCGCGCCAACCCCCATGCTTCCCCCCCTCGTGCCCCTCACTCTCACTGTTACCCTTCGTTACCTCTAGTCTACCACGAGGTACAGTTGATGGAGACCGTGAGGAGTACCTCCATCTCAGAGCCTTCCATTTGGGTTCTCTCTCTTGCTTGTGCCCTTCGCCTGCCTCTCGCGTGCCCGCCTGATAAGCAAGGCATATGGCATTCTGCACTCTGGTCCTATTACTTTTCCTGTGCCTTCCATTCCCGTGTTTTTCAAGCTCTCTGTTCACCGTCCATCTTCTAAGCGCTACACCACAACTATTTGCGCCTCTATCACCCTATCGCAGTCTCGTTACCAATTACACAACCAGTTTCAGCCTTCGCGTTAGTGACAACACCCCGCCTACCTGGTACAAACGCCTTAGGAATTTCCATCGCACGGTTGGGTGACCTGGTTGGACCTCCTCGAATGGCTATGATGCTTTGGCGCAACGAACTTATTTGATACCCCTCGCATCGGCTGTCCGCATGGCTTATCCGTGCTTGATGTAGTCCCAGCCAGATCCTGCTGGCCTACTTGTCGCCCCACGCCTCTCGATCCACAAACACTTTGTTCGGCTTCGGCATCATTGGATTCAGTTGGAAGAGAAAGGGTGTTGGGAGACGGAACGAAAAGGTGGTTAAACGGGCCATCAGGGTGCCTGGTTCTCCTGGGAACAATTCCACGTCCATCTTAACACGCTACTTGCCTGGCTCGTATACTTGATTCCACCTAGAATCTCGATGCTCCTTCCCGAGAATTCCATGGAGCAACCACATGTCGAAACCCACGGGAGCGGTACCGAGCCGACCTTGGACAATAATGAGCAGTCACACAACCAACCAAGCCTCTGGCGCAGGGGGCTCAACCTCTTTGGCCGCGACAAAGGGAATGGAGGTCCTGGACCGTTCGACAACATTCCAAGAATACAGGCTGTTGGACCCGAGGATGAGAATAATAAGGATGGCGTCGCCAAACGGATATCGAGGAAGGTAGTTCCAGGCCTCCCTAGAGCTCCGACCTTCAAAAGACAACAGTCAGAAAAGCGACATAGACTTGAGCCTGTCCGGCCTACGCCCGCCGAGAGAAGAGCCGTGTCCATGGATAGACGGATTCAAATATCCAACAGCGCCTTCGATCAGTCCGACCCACGAACCAGTGCCCCAGACTTTTTTCGGCAGCCCTTCAGTCCTGAGCAATACTCACAATCGGTACCATCGATCCCAATTGACGAAGAAATGTCGAATAATGGCTATTTCGGAAGATACGGGCATGGAATGCACGGCTTCGACGACAATGAGAACGATGCCGATTTGGATGGAGAAGAAGTCATGTCTGACTTGGATTGCCGTTCAACTACGACTTCGGCGTGGGAGAAAAAGATACATGAAGAACTGGAGCACATATGGATTCTGAACTTGTCAATGCACTTTCGGGACAAGTCAAAACGCGAGAAATTCTTCGTCACCTACAGGCAACATGAGCACCTCTGGAGGCGTGTCACGGTGTCTTTAGACTATCGAAACGCGCCGGATAACTCACTGGAGATGGAACTGTCACACACCAAATTCCAGCGGGAGAAGAGCGCCAAGATATACGAGGCTATTCAGGAGAGCTTGCCAGATATCCAATTTTATGACACTGTCACCAACTTGAAACTCCAAACGACGGATGGAAGGTTGCATGTCCATGTGGTGGAGGATGTTAATGTTTGTTTTGCCATGATTCTTTTCCGGCTTGTTTACTGACATACAGTTTTAGGAAATCATCAGCTACCCGTCAGTCCGTTTGATTCAGCACACAGGGTGTAGACGTATCAGGGAGCAAGATATGCAGTTCGACTCGCACATGTCTGGCTTTGTGTACAAGATGCGAGTGAATGGCCGGACGCTCATCAAGAAGGAAATACCAGGCCCGGACACGGTCGATGAG